AATACAATACAATACAATACAATACAATATAATAAATATAATATAATATAATATAATATAATGTGTACTTTTTTGTAGTAATATACAATATTAGGATATATTGTCTGAATATATTATTACAAAAATACACTGTGATTATGTATTATATTATATTATATTATAAAGGACTATAAAAATATACTGTATATGTTTTTAAGAATATATATGTAAATATATATTTTTTTTATTTATTATAATTACAAATATATTATAAAAAATACACTGTGATTATTTCTTATATTGATAGTGCTAAATTCTTAGAAGTATCTCTGTCTCTTGCTGTAAGAACTCAGTCCTGCAGGAAACACTTCTGCAAAAATATTTCTCTTCTGACTGATGATCTCAAGCTGATGAGTTTAAACTTAATTGGAACCATTTTCACAAAGCAGGCGGCACCAGTGGTCTCTCCAGTTTGGTTGGCAAGGGGTGAATGGGCTAGGCGGGATGTATTTAGGGGAACCACATGCCACCAGATGAGGTGCCAGCCTGGGGCGAGGGCATGGGCAAGGGCAGAGGTGATGACAGTGTTGGAGAGGAGCATTTGGGAGAGAGCCGCTGCACCAGGACTTCTCTGGGTGCTGTCCAAACTGTCAGAGGCTGGCTGAGTGACCTTGGCGGGGGCCCAGCCCAGCTGGAGCACAGGGTGAGAGGAGAAAGAGGGCGACCTGTCAGGCAGCCACCAGCTTGAGAAAGACTTGCCGGTCACTACATAGCTCCATCCCTATCTCTAAAAGAACACAGCAGAGCAGTTCTTCTAAGCATGAAAGCAAAGTGTTTTGTGCACACATACATAATTCTGTGGTCATTGAGCACTTTTTGCCCTTTTTTATTTGGTTCCAATTCAAGTCACTGCTCTCAAATACTGCGTTTACAAAATCCATCTGAACATCAAGTAGCTTAACTAAAGATACAGTCACTGTTGTATGTTGCTCTCTAAAACAATAGTAAATATAAATACAGAATTCTGGCATGAAACTCTAGATGGCGCAGTCCGATAGGTTTAGCTCAATCTGACCTGGTGACATCATTGTCACAGGGGCAGCCGATTGGTTCTCTCTTCTATCGGTAGCCAATGAGCTCACTGCTCAATATTCAAATACCTGGCTTTTGTTTGCTGTAGAAGTTGGCAGCGCACTTCAGAAACCCTCCACCTCCCCCAGCTCCACCTGTATAGATCTGCTACGGGGTGTTTTATGTATGCTATATGGGGGTTATTCATATGTGTTATATGTGCAACAGCAGTATTTCTTACATGCTTACAGCAGCATGTTGTGGATGTATTGGCAGTAGCAAGTCTCGGTACTTGCTCTGCCGCAGCAGCAGCATAGCAGATCTATTCTGCCAAGACCAAATACATTAACATTGTCATGTACATTACCATGCCAATCCCTCCGAGAGTTGTCATGACAGAAATAAATATATAATGATATAAGTAAAAAGAGAGAGATAGATATCTTTATGAATTGATATCAGTGCTGAGGTAGAAATTCCTAAAACATTACAGTATCGATCCATCCCTATTAGATAGACATGTAACTTATGTCTTTTATCCATTTCAGCCGGTGTTGTGACAAGAAGAGCTGCGGAAACCGAAACGAGACGCCATCTGATCCTGTCATCATCGACAGGTAAGAGCATCTTTTATCTTCTTCTTGCCCTCCAAAATGGAAAGACTCCTGTATCTACGGGCATCTGGATATTTTATTAATGTGCATTTTGGGGGGCAAATCCTGCATCCACAGCAGGACACAGCAGCCAAGTGAGCGAAAGACAGTTTGTGTAGACATGCTCCTCTTGACAAACGCAGCTCTCGCAGCAACCACATTTGGGATTCTGAAACATTTAGAGATATTGAATATGATTCTAAACAATTTAGCTTTTTTCCCCATGGGTTAATGTTTGTAGTTTTAGGTTTGCTAACTGCTTATTCTGTTCTGAATACCTTCTCTCAAACTCTTTACCCTGTTGACGGGACTTCTACCCGCTAAAAGCGTCTGTAGGGAGGTTCGGTAATGACTGGAATGGAGTGGATGCGATTGTGTGAGAGAGTGTGCACTTCCAAACAGGACAGCAGTGAGAGTGTCCTCCTAGGGCACAGGGGTCATTACCAAATCCATGTTGGCTCGTTAGACTGGCCTTGGAGCGTATCCAGAGACAGAAGTGAAGGGAGCCGGAAATCAGTGACCCTCCCTCTTTCTCAACACACACTTACAAAAGCTTGTACACACAACCACACACAAAATCTTCTCACCTCTAGCTGCCATGGAGTGCATCTGATTGGTGTAAGGTCCGAACCTGCAGAGATGATGTCACCTTTTCATGCTTTCAGTGTCGTTTATGGAATGTACCATTATTTAGCCGCTCAGTAAATGACAAAACCCTGCAGCCATTATTGTGGCCGCACCAGCAAACAAATACAGAGTTCTGGCATGAAACTCTAGATGGCGCAGTCCGATAGGTTTAGCTCAATCTGACCTGGTGACATCATTGTCACAGGGGCAGCCGATTGGTTCTCTCTTCTATCGGTAGCCAATGAGCTCACTGCTCAATATTCAAATACCTGGCTTTTGTTTGCTGTAGAAGTTGGCAGCGCACTTCAGAAACCCTCCACCTCCCCCAGCTCCACCTGTATAGATCTGCTACGGGGTGTTTTATGTATGCTATATGGGGGTTATTCATATGTGTTATATGTGCAACAGCAGTATTTCTTACATGCTTACAGCAGCATGTTGTGGATGTATTGGCAGTAGCAAGTCTCGGTACTTGCTCTGCCGCAGCAGCAGCATAGCAGATCTATTCTGCCAAGACCAAATACATTAACATTGTCATGTACATTACCATGCCAATCCCTCCGAGAGTTGTCATGACAGAAATAAATATATAATGATATAAGTAAAAAGAGAGAGATAGATATCTTTATGAATTGATATCAGTGCTGAGGTAGAAATTCCTAAAACATTACAGTATCGATCCATCCCTATTAGATAGACATGTAACTTATGTCTTTTATCCATTTCAGCCGGTGTTGTGACAAGAAGAGCTGCGGAAACCGAAACGAGACGCCATCTGATCCTGTCATCATCGACAGGTAAGAGCATCTTTTATCTTCTTCTTGCCCTCCAAAATGGAAAGACTCCTGTATCTACGGGCATCTGGATATTTTATTAATGTGCATTTTGGGGGGCAAATCCTGCATCCACAGCAGGACACAGCAGCCAAGTGAGCGAAAGACAGTTTGTGTAGACATGCTCCTCTTGACAAACGCAGCTCTCGCAGCAACCACATTTGGGATTCTGAAACATTTAGAGATATTGAATATGATTCTAAACAATTTAGCTTTTTTCCCCATGGGTTAATGTTTGTAGTTTTAGGTTTGCTAACTGCTTATTCTGTTCTGAATACCTTCTCTCAAACTCTTTACCCTGTTGACGGGACTTCTACCCGCTAAAAGCGTCTGTAGGGAGGTTCGGTAATGACTGGAATGGAGTGGATGCGATTGTGTGAGAGAGTGTGCACTTCCAAACAGGACAGCAGTGAGAGTGTCCTCCTAGGGCACAGGGGTCATTACCAAATCCATGTTGGCTCGTTAGACTGGCCTTGGAGCGTATCCAGAGACAGAAGTGAAGGGAGCCGGAAATCAGTGACCCTCCCTCTTTCTCAACACACACTTACAAAAGCTTGTACACACAACCACACACAAAATCTTCTCACCTCTAGCTGCCATGGAGTGCATCTGATTGGTGTAAGGTCCGAACCTGCAGAGATGATGTCACCTTTTCATGCTTTCAGTGTCGTTTATGGAATGTACCATTATTTAGCCGCTCAGTAAATGACAAAACCCTGCAGCCATTATTGTGGCCGCACCAGCAAACAAACTACCAATAATGCCAATTTACTAACAACCGACGGGGCGAGAGAACCATCAAAGGTGCGACAAAATACGACAAAAGCGTGCGTGAGAGCGTTTGAATTTTTCATCTCTCTACAATGAGGCTGATATTGCCATCTGAAATGTTACCTCTGGGAGTAGTCGGAATGAATGGCGCTACGTGGGGGCTGAATCGCTGATGTCTAGCATGTGTGTGTGTGCCAGCCACATCCCAACTCCTCATTACGCTGACCAAAACCCATTCTAAAGTGTTTACGGATGACAGCGGATGCGTGTGATTTAAGACAGACCGGTCCATACGACTGCATTTTAGCGCCCTATTAAGATGGGCAGTATTTATAGGAGCGCCGCCCTGAGCTCCTTAAACCAACAGATAAATCAGTTCAGCACGAGGGACGGCCGCCGGCCCACCATGCAAATCAGCTGTAGCGCCCGTCACTGTAAAAGGCTTAATGACAGCCATTCATCCTGCCCTCCACAGTCTCTACCTTTGTTTCAAGCACAGATCTGCTCTGTAAATCAAGACCTGCTGCGCACGACTGTGCGGCCCCATGCATCACAAATAAGAGCCCTCGCATGCGCACACTTGCATTAACACAGCCAGACCTGGTGGCGCTCGAAGGAACCATTTTTCACGCCTGCCTCTCCGTTAGTTTGGTCTCATCAATTTTGCCCCATTGATCGTGATGTTTACCGCTAATGGGGGCGATAAACAACAACAAACAAAGAGCTTCACTTGATTCTTTTTGATTTCGGCCCATTATTGGCTGTCACGGGAAATAAGGCAATTGCAGCGACACAGTCACTTCCTGTCCTGTTCCAGCTTCGTGAGTCTATTCTCGAGTCCACTTAGTTAGGGGTTAAGTATGGGTCAGGAAGGTCAGGGGTCGTATCTCACGACGCCTTTACTTACACAAACCGGGAAGCACTTGCATTACATGCCATTTGCAGATCAAGAAGTGCTCAAGCAATGATGGGCTGGGTGAAATATCGCTCTGGCGAGCTTTAAAACAGGTGTTAGTACAAGCTAATATTGCAATTAGATCATCCAGAGAGTTCTCTTAGTTGGACAATAAATTGTGCGGTGCTGTCAGTGCTTAGAGCAGGATGGGGGAGTTTGGTCTAATTAACTCCTTGTGCCTCCCACACATCCAGCCTTGATTGTGATGGTCATTATTCGCTTTTATGCTTTTAATTTCGAGTCATGCACAAGGAGTGAAGCATTGAAATCAGACCATAGATAAGGGTTAACATTCATTTCCATGTGACCTTACTGACCTTTGCTCCATATTTGTGTTAACAAAGTGTCTCTCCTCTTGTCTTTATCAGGAGAGCATGTTTTCGTGAATGTCCTGTATGGCACAGATTAGTAGATGTGTGAAAGTGAAGACAAAGACGTGTTCTTGAGACATCTGTGTTAAGTGTAATATTTTTTATATGCAGTCAGGAAATCTTGGAGTAGAAAATAATTTGAAAGGAAATAAACAATGTATTGGGTTTTAAATTTAAAGGTAATCATATTTTTTACAATTTAATGTTTTACACAAATTGTTACATTGATAATATGATGTGTAAAAAAAATAAATAAATATATATATATTAGTGCTGTCATTAATCGTGATTAATCGCATACAAAATCAAAGTTTTTGTTTACATAATATATTTATGTGTACTGTGTATATTTATTATGTATATATAAATACACACGCATACAGTAAATATTTTGAAAATATTTTATAAAATGTATTTACATGTATACATTTTGATTCTTATATTTTATATTATATATAAATATAATGAACATATAAACATAACACATTTTTCTTAAATATATACATGCATGTGTTTGTATTTATATATACATAATAAATATACACATTATACACACATATATTATGTAAACAAAAACTTTTATTTTGGATGCGATTAATCACGGTTAATTGTTTGACAGCACTATTTTTTTTAAATGATAAAGTAGAGTCCTTCCCATTGCTTATTTATATGTGTGCTTATGCCAGAACTTAACCCTACATATGTTTGACTGTCTGTATAGGATTATGTCTACATGTATATACAAATGTGCATGTGTGCAACTTAATCTTAACACTATCTTTGACTGTTTGTATGCAGTAGAGCTGTGTGTGGTTGTACATATATGTGCATGTCTATGTCAGAGCTTAACCCTGTGGGGGTGGCTGCTGGTTTTTGGTTATCAGCCTCTCTGGACTCTTCCCAGCAATCGCTTTCTATTGATCGAGCTGCGCGCCCATCGGTGCCGGCCAGATTAAGAGTATAGATTTGCAATAAAAGAAGGACATTACTGGGCAGCCTGGGTAAAATTGAAAAAAATGATGAGCTCTTGGAAGTGGAGATGAGTCAGAGGCAGAAGAGAAGGGTGTTAAAGAGGCAGATTTTATGTACGTGTGTGTTAGAGACACATTACAGGCTGATACTGTATGTGTATGACATTATACACTCAGGACTGGGAAGTCTTTAATGTGCTTTAATATGGAATATCAAGAGGAGTGATGCAACTATTTGATTGATTATTCATTTTTAGAGTAAAAATTTGCAGTCGCTTTTATTCGTCACAAAAGCATAATTTTATTATCACATGAAATGTGATAGTTCACCCAAAAATGTAAATTCTGTCATCGATTACTCACCCTCCACTTGTTCCAAACCTGTACGAGTTTCTTTCTTCCGCTGAACACAAAAGAAGATATTTTGAAGAATTTCAGTTGACGGTAGCCATTGACTTCCATAATATTTTTTTTTCCATACTATGTAAGAAAATGGCTACTGTCAACTGCTTTGTCACCAACATTCTTAAGAATATCTTTCAACAGCTAAAGCAACTCATCCAACTTTGTGGTGAGTAAATGATGACAGAATTTTCATTTTGAATAATTTAAGAGGTTTGCCATACTGTATATTGTTTTAGGTTGAACTCATACTAGGTCTGTCCGTTATGCAGGTATGTTTTAGTGCATGTGTATGTGTGTGTTTTATGTGTGAAATATGAAAGATCATGGTGTGTTGTAGGGGCAGGTGGCCCGTTTGGCTGGTTCAATAATTCAGTATATCCTGTCCCTCACAGGGGGACTCGTCTTGCTTCCCATTCTGCTCTCATACACACTTCTTTTCTTTGGAATAGAGAAGAAACAAGAGTATGAATAGAAAGCGAGAGCGATTTTTGAACATTCTGCAGTGGCACGACTGTAGCCCTGGTGGTGGCACTCTGATAAAAACAGTGACAGATGCAGGTGAAATGAGGCCAGTCGCATGACGATGTGCAGCGTAAAGTTCCCATTGCAATTCTAGAATGGTCATCTCTCATTAACCCTGAGTCTATTGAGCCATTTTTACCCAAAGCACCCCCATCAATTGAACACAATCATTCCTGCGCTTTTAGCCTACACTCTCAAAGATATTATTTTTTTGTGCTTTTTTGAATAGTAAAAGTAGATAGATGACGGTAGAATGGGATAATGACGCGTTGCTGGTCTAATTCAAACCTATACCGCCCACAGAAGCGCCACATCTCAGCGTGTCTTGGGAAATGACGCTGATACATATCATATCTGACAATTTCAGCACTAATCTTGCAGCCACAACCTAATGCAAAAGTGTCTTTTTATCTTTGCCGTAACGTGATGGTGACCTTGAGTGGCCAACTGAGAGGATTGAAGGGAAATACGGCAGGCGCTGTTTGTGCTGTAGACCTCTCCTCTTTCATGCGGGCTATCCGTTTCAACTCTCGCTACACCAGCTACACAGCCAGGCCTGCAAATAGAAAGCCACACAACCACAAGCACCTTCCCTCTCGGTTCTGTTGTTACAGTCTCACCCTCTGCCGCACAGAAGCCTCCAACAGAAGGTTAACTCACTGTAACTTATCTGGAGCACCAATGTCCTCATGGACTTGGATGTTTACTGGCTTGTTGTTGCAGTACCATCCATGTGTGCCACATATGAAGACTTTCCTTTTAAAGCTGCAGAATTGTTAGTTAGTTCAATCCTAAATGCATCCAATATTCATAGCCACCCTTATGTGTTAGCACCTTGAAACATTTGTAGTTTGGCCAGACCATGACCTGCATGTAGACCCATGCTGATCATGTCCTCTATGGGAAAACAAGACCCTTCCAGCTTCATGTGGTAACATGAAATGAGCTGGTTTAAATCAAGCTAAAAAA